TTTTCTTGTATTTATAATATTAGTTATTATTGAAAATTTTAGTTGTTACATTTGAAAGTGATACAAAATAAAGTAGCTGTAAGATAATAAATAAACTAATATGTAATTTGCTGATCAAAAGTCAAAATAAAGATTCTTATTATCCTGTCTTGCCGCTCGCCAGGATAAAGTAAGGCATCAGGATAGGACAGAAAAGTTTGATGATAATACAAAGAGACGTAATATCTAATTGATAAGAGCAGAATTATCATTATTTATTGTTAGAAGAGTATTATAATAGATCATTTATCGTCACATCAAGTAGATTTGTCATTTATGTATCAATCACTTACATTTGAAGATGCTTGAAAATAATCTTTTTTGTAAAACAATGGAAAATCTCATTGGAAACCTAGATCAATACAAGAATATCATGATCAGACAAGTGGATATATTGTTGATGAAATAATTCGTTGTATTGATTCTCAACATTGTTCGTATAGTCAACTTATTCATGATAAATTACATCACCATTATTATATAGGTGCACCTAATAATGAAATCGATGTACGTGTTGCTCTTCTTATTAAACGGGAAAAAGTTTAGAAAAAAACAAAACGGTTATAATGTAATGAGAAATACAGGTTGTTTTATTTAGTTTTGCTTGTCAATCAAAACTATTTATTTTAGTTTTATGAATTTGACAGCTGATGAAACTCGAACATGTATTAGTGTGCTTGATTTAGAATAATCTTAAATGATGTATAATAAACCTGAAATTCAATCTTGATCATCTGTAAGTTGTATAATAAATATTCAAATTTTATCTAGAATCAACAGTTTACTTATTGGTAATGTCAATGAAAATAGAAAGAAATTAAAATGTCTTTTTCCGTAACGAAGACTTTGTTACAAACGATAAAACAAATAATACTAATTGGCGAACTCGATCATGCTTTATATAAAAAATAACTTGTAATGAACATTCAAATAGTGACTTTGATATCTCTTGGAAAGAGCTAGAGAGTTTATCATATTGAAAATATTAATGCTAAACCTATTCAGTTTTTATGACAGAAACTGTTTTTGTTCAGTAGTCAAAAGTTTTCAAATATACTATTTGATGCAGAATTGAATAGACTATATTTTAGTATGAATATTTTTGAATATCTATGAGTTATACTAATTAAATATAAACTATTATTAATTAACAGTTATAGAAAAATCTTCTCATAATTTTCATTTTTGAAGTACATCATGAGAAAGAACATTGAAAACTAAATAAAGATGTGCCTTTTTTTGTTTTACATCAATAGTCTTAATGAGATTTTTTCAGTATTCTTTTAGTATTTGATTAATAATTAAGAAAATTAAGTTTCAAAGTAGAAGTTTCGCAACTATTAAAAGTAGTGTATTTTATAGTGCAGAGTTTGTTCTATCGGACGAAACCTAGAAGCCTTTTTTACGATATAATCTCCAAGTAAAACCACATTTCCAATTATTATCAGTAATTTCAGCGATGACTTCTAGCTACTATTTTATGCCTTGTTTCGGTTAAACTATTTTCCATGCATTGCATCTAAAAAATGTCACATTATCCAGAAAATTCACCAGCTCTCATTCCATAGAACAAACTCTGCACTATAAAATCCACTGCTTTTCATAGTTGCGAAATTTCTACTTGAAGCTTAATTTTCTTAATTATTAATCAAATTCTAAAAGAATACTGAAAAAAAATCTCATTAAGACACTGTTGATGTAAAACTTTTTCTGTTCTTCGACAACATCAAAAGCGATAAAATACAAAAAGTACTTTAAACTTTTGACTGTTGAACAAAAACAATTTCTGTCATAAAAATTGAATAATTTTAACGTTAGTATCTTCAATATGATAGACTTGTAGCTCTTTCCAAGAGATATCAAAATCACTATTTGGATGTTCATTACAAGGTTTTTTTTGATGGAGAAGAAAAACAAAAAGTGTCGTAAACTTTAAATTCCCATTTTATATATATGTCTACAATTAAGTTGGTCCTTTTGTGCTTCCGATTATTTCATTAATGTATTCATGATATTCAAAGCAGTGAAAATATTCTCTAATATCAAAAGACATTAGTTTGCTTTTCATTACTTTTTTTTGTATTCTTGATGTATATGGCTTACAAAAACAAAAGAAAAAAGTCTTCAGTATGTATATTATAATCAAATGATGAAATAAGTAACGTCGAGAATATAATTTTTTCTGGAAAGAGAGAAAAGAAAAAAAAAAAAAAAAAGGTAGGTTTTCTATCACATTATTAGAAAAGAAAAAAAGGTGATTTAGTCTAGAAAAAGAAGAAAAAAAAAATTACGAATGAGCTTTGCATGCTTCATAGAAGAACGCAAGGACATAAGACAAATAAAAAAAAAAAGAGAGAAACCTACACTAATATCTTTTCACAACAATTTCATCTTAAAAATTTGTGGTAATCAAAAAATAATCTACCATTCTTATACCAATAAAATAAAAAAAAGACATATGTTAATGTTACGAGAAAAAAAAACCTTGACTATTTTCTTCTTTCTCTTACCGAATTTCAAATTGACTAAAAATCATAAGACATATCCCAGGTAAGTGTATCGATTGTTTTATTACAAATAAATATGAACTCTATTGAAATATGTAGTAAATAATATTTTGAATTCATTAATTGATTAGAAAAAAAATGAATATTTGATCGAAGTAACATAGACACAGCATTCATTCAGATAATAAATCTATGGCGCACATTTGTTTGCACTATCATCTTATTCATAAATTGGTATACTTATAGTAGTTATTATATAGGAAGTAGATGTGACATTGATACCTTCCGTTGCTAATTTTTCATACAATAATGAGTTATTTTTACTATTTATGATAATCAAAATAGTTATTTTATAATCTGTCATTATGAGATCAATAGTAATCAGTTCAGTGAGTATAAATATTTTGTAAGTCTGATTTTTTAAAGATCAGAAAAATTCTAATTTGTTTTTGTTTTTTGATAGTTTGATTAAAAATATTATATTAATTTTAATTAAATAATAAATGTGGAAACCTCAGATTTAAATCCGAGAGTTATGTGTACTTCAAAAAATGAATGAAATAGATGAGTCGTTCTAGAATGTGGGGATATAAAAATTATCCTGGCAAACCTTATCTATAAACACTTGATTTCTATTGGTTACTGTTCAATCCATGAGATTTCGAGGCGAATGGAGCACAGATTCGAGTTCTCCACCCCAGAAAACCTCGAACTATCATCTCTGTGATCGGAAGATAGAGCTCTATTTGTGGATCAATTAGAGCGTGGACAAAAACAGAACCGAATTCTGTTTAATTGTCTTTGGAATAGCTGAGTTGGTTTTCTTGTTTCCTTATGTTTTATATACCATTTTGTAGTTCGTGAAATTCTCTATCGAATGGTATATAATAGTTGGGGTTTTATTTGACTATGATAGGAAAAGTTTTTTACGAAAGCAGAGATAGGTCGATCTTCTCATAGGGAAACATAGGGAAAAATGACTATTTTTGCAATAACTCAGCAATGACTCGGCCAATCATTCTCATCTTCGAACTCGACGGAGATATTGTTCAGACTAAACTGTGTAGAAAATTTCACCGCGATCGGACTCTCCTTTCAAAAGTTATAGTGTAAACGGCCGGACGGACGGGCACACTGACCGATTCTAGAGTGTACTCACTTTTTGAGTACACAAAAAATATGTTTGTTATAATTCTTTAATTTAATTTCAGAAGTAGAATCTATTTGTTTAGTAATATTCAAAATTTTTTATATAAACCTATATTTTAAAGTAAATCTTATATATAGAATTTTATATTTGTTCTTATATTTTTCATGAACATGAAACTTCATCCGATAATGTGAATAATATTATACGTGTATTATTTTGTAAGCTGATCATTGTCATGCAAGTATACGAGACTCGAAATAGTTGCTATGAAAGATCGAATGACTGATATATAATAATGACGTTTTTCTACTTTTTCATTTTAAATAAAATTATCAACAATTTATCATAATAAAAATGATTGAATTCAATCACTAGTTTAGTGAGTAAAATTCCACTCGTAAATTGAACTTGAATGGAATTTTTTATAATTACCTACGCGATTCAAATTAGACAAAACATACGAGTGAATCATTCGATATAATCCGTATCAAGTCGGTGACATTTGTCAGTAGTGAAAAAAAAATTGCTGGTATACCAATAGTTATTCTCCGATCGGCAGTTTATTGCCCGTATACTGAGAAGGGTAGTGCAAACAAACGTGTAATATGCGTAAGCAGTCGAGAAAAAAAACTCTGTATAAAAACAAAAAAAAGGTTTATATATTCTTAGTCTCGTGTTTCCTTCCAATAACACTTATAAGATTAAAAAAAAATCTTTTCTCTTTCTTGATTGTCAAAGGTCATTTGTTTCTACCATCTGTTCTTCGTACTCCTGTGACGTTTTTGACAAATCTTTGTTCAATTATCTCGGAAACTATAAGAGCTAGAAAGTTTGTTCAAACGTCATTCGACACAGCTTATCATACTCTATTTATGCTACGAAAACAACGTTTTTCGGTTGAAGTGTCGAGCTTCCAGATAGGATTTTTGGTCGCGTAATGCTGCGGCATAAAAAGACCCGTTTTCTTCATGGTCGCTAATAAAACTTCGATTTTTTGTGAAATTATTTTTTCAAATGAAACACTTCTAGGGCCAGTTTTCTAGAGCTCTGACCGCAGTTTTAAGCGATAAAAAAAAAA